CCATTCAAAAGCCAAAGGCCTCCTAATAAATATAGCTACCTCGTCGATGAAATAATTTTCGCCCAATGGACATGTAAAAAGTTGATACACTGTGTGTATCATAAAATCATATATTGCATATGCGTGTATTGTATATTTCCTTATAAGGGAACTAAAATTAAAGCTTTAAACTTCGTTTGATATATTATTATAGTTTAGATAGAACATACGAGTTGGTTGCGCTTCCAAGCTTGCCGATATAACAATATGGAAGTGAGTAAATTCATGGTTTGTTGTCATATCATCATCGTTTGCTGCTTCAAGTGTCTTACTGTTCAGCTCACAGCGACCTTTACCAATACCAGACGCTTTGTAATTGACCGAGGCACACGATTCATGTCGAACGCAGAGAAAGCCACATTCAAACTCGCTAGCGTCTTCTTTTGTTTCGATGACATGATTTGCCAGGTATTTTTGCTCATGTCTCTGAAAGATAGCCTGTTGCGAGCATTCTCCAAGTCGTAGTTTGTTTAGGGTGAAAATATAAACTAAAACGTTAAAAAAGACAACCATTTGCATTGCAGCAAGATTATTCAGAGAACAACGACATGCATGTAAATGCCAAAAATAATTGCTAAGATGTTTGATATCAGATATAATTGAACGAAATCAATTATTCATGCAAGGTATATAAATTGGCCATACATAGGAGTCATGCATATCGCGGCATGTTTTCTGCAATATAGAAAAAACTGATTCTGTCAACTTCGAGAAAAAAAAGAATTACGGCCGAGAAAAAAAAAGACTTACGGCAGACTACTGACTACAGACTCATATAGAATATCGTACATACATATAGAATTAATATTTAAACACCACTGAACACTATAGCTAATCTTATTCCACTATATCTATTACCCGAAAGAAGTAAATATTTTATGCTTTGTTATAAAAGCACCTCATGGATGCATTAATTGCATTTTACACAACTGTATATAGCATAAATCGGTTAATTTCGGGAAATATTTTTCTGCTGTTCAACCCATGCGAGAAGAATTTTGTTTGTCGAGAGATCAAATATACTACTTTCAAAATGTTAGCTGTTTTGGAGGTCAGTGCAATGCCATGCATGTATTCAATTGATATACAAAAGCAGGCGTTTCACAGCGTTAGCCAATATTTAATCGCTGCGTGTAGATTAATTTTATGAAAAATTAATACGCCGCATTCACAAATCAAGAGGCTGCATGACTATACTACATTATGCGAGACGTGACGTATTTGACGTATATATGCATGTTGAAATGAAACATTATAACTTGACAATTGTGCATTATAGCCATGAAGACAATACCACGCGTGGGATTTTTGATTATTTTCATAAAGACTTATTTTAATGCCTTAAAAGTCCATTTCCTGCCTCGTTGAATCTCGATTACCCGGCTCATGAAAACAGCCCGTAATCGGTAATCATTTAATGAAAATTGCAGTGGTAGTGTTAAAACCATTTGAAACCATTTTCCTCATCAAATAGATTTAAATAAATCTAGTATAGGTGCATGAATATTATTTTTTCAGTACACTGTGCGTCGGTAATTTAAATTAGATTTTTTGTCTACAAAAAATCAATGTCATTTCATAATGCTGTCTTATAACCTTATACTATTTATACAATAAAGTTCGTTTTAATGATTTGAATTCATCTTTCTTTTGTTACTTATTAAATCCGGTAGATTACTTACATATATATTTTTTACATATTAACTAAACTTATAGATACGATAATATTTATGTACAAATTTCAATATCTACACTATACTTTGTATTACTGCATAAAGGCTGTATAGGCCAAGTTATATAGGTCAGACTATATTTTAACATGCTGGTTTCGTATGTCCCTGCATTTGATAGATATATTTATTGCATCTTAAGAAACTAAAATATACGCGAAGGCTTTTGTTTCCGAATGCTCTTCAAGACTTACAACATAACCAGCTGCTAGTTCGTTATTATTCGCCAACCTATCGTTACGAAATTGTATGCCCAATGCAAGTGCTGTGGCAACGCGGTTACACTCCAGCCGTTCATTCGACCCAAAACCAACACGCGCAAAGAAACTGCCTTGGTTGATATTGAAACCTTCTATAATACAATATTCAAGGATCGTCTTTGGACTTGATTTTGTTAACAACTCCCACTCCTTATATCCAGCGCTTGTGTTTCGATTTTGTCCATCTGCAATCACATCGTACAGCGAACTTGCCTCGTAATCGACCGCCATTAAATCTGTTTTCCCGTTAATGGTCATACCAAAACATATTTTCTTAAAAGGAGTGTTCCAATAGGAAGCTAGTTTACTTTCCTTCTCTGTTAGCCCTTCAAGTCCATCTTCGACTGCATAACTTTCTTTGTTCGTCCACAAAGATGAATTATATATGAATGTATTCTGTTTAAGAAAAACGTAGAAGAATGAAACCAAAAACGATCCAATAAACCAAAATATGCTATTAACTACTATACTTATCAAAACAATAAGTGAGATTAATAAACTTCCTGAGACCCAATTGAAGATAATTATAAAGCATTAGGGAAATCCTAGTAGGAGTGAGTTGTATTTTAGATGTTAGGGGTTTAGTCCCACCAGGTTCTTAATGAGACCTGTTCAATTGTATGACCGAATAAGTTTTTGTCATCAAATATCATGCATGGTTTAGCGTATAATTACCAAATTTCCGTTCACTTTCATGACTAATGTCCAGCCTCCTGGGCCACATCCGGTGACGTTCTCCATCACACAGAAAACGGGATATTTATCTGCCGAAGTTCTGGATTGTAGATAATGGATTCCGCTTAGTAGGCTCCTGAAAATTGTTGAAATGATTTACAATAAGAGCGGCCTAAAGCAATCATATGCAAACTCAACATAGTGATGACCTTGTTTTATTTATATCTCACGTATTCTGACTACTGCTGTATGACAGCGTAATATCACTTTTAATTTCTATCGAGTTTAGCTCATAATGAGTCGGCGAAATTTCGGGACACATAATTGGCACAGAGTATAGTAGAGGTTATTATACCTGCATGTACAAATTATTTTAATTAAAACACAATTAATATAATCACCCGTCATCTTCCAACAACTTTTTGCAGCTGGGTTTGCCTGGCATTTTTTGCGTTGCAGATTCATTCAAAACCTAAACGGCAAAAGACATTTTTTCTCACAATATATAGCAAGTGTAACTCACGATGTCTGTGAGGCGGAAGGGTGGGTGGGTGATATGGGAGCGAAAATTAAGAGAAATACTTCAAAGTCGTCTGAACACATGCACGTATAACTGGACTCGCATTTACCTGGGTTCGCTACTTGGGCATGCACACTTACCCGCCTTTCAAAAACTGAAAGTCTTGCTGATGTGACGGAATGATTTAGGGATTGCTCATAATTATAAGTCTAGTAATAGTAAATTTACGTACAATGGAACAATGATGATTTTTAAAAATTGCAGGAAGGCGTTTAAATTTTGGCAGAGTAGTCGCTGCCTGCTCAAACGATGCATGTATACGTTTACTCACTAGATCAATTAGAACAAGGTGGTTGAATTCAAGGTTCTTTTCTTCTTTGTCTGCATACGATGCGTGATCACGTTTCTTATGGTTGAGCTCACAACGACCTTTACCAATCCCAGAAGTTTTGTAATTTACCGACGCACATGATTCATGTCGAATACAAAGCGAACCACATTCAAACTCGGTGTTTACCTGTTTCGTTTCAAAGACATGATTCGCCAAGTATTTTTGTTCATGCCTGCGAAAGACAGCTTGCTCCGTGCACAGGACAATCCCTGGTATACTTGTGATAAGAAATAGCGTGCAAGCGCTCAGAGAGACATTCATTGCAAGGCAAACGGTTATGAACACACAAAGTCATAAATTTTTATTTTTATATTGTCTCTGATTAACAATTGCACTAAATGTGCGAAATTAGGGCAATTTCATTGTTAATATTAGTTGTTGATATGATTATAATTACGACTATCAAATGGCTTCAGGATAATCAATTTCACATCAGCGTTGTTTATGCTCCATTTTAATTTCATTGAAGAAAAGTTGATTGGTCAGTATATCGAAAATTAGGCGAACCTAATAAATTCCGCTGTCTATGTCCCTATTATAGCCTCATTTCTTCAAATGACACCGTAGCATATTTGTTTTCTTTGTGGGACAAATAATTCGCTTTGTTTTCTGTCTAGAAATTTTGCTGAGTGTGATGGGGGTATACTTGTGTTTCCCAACAACCTGTAGTATAGGCGCAATATATATCTTTAGTTAAAAAGAATATTTAATTATCTCGGTAATTAAACAGGTGCCATTTCAATTTAAATGCTGTAGAAATAGAGTACCGTAGAGTAAATTATTGCTATAGCAATAATGGTATTAATATAAGATTAGAAATGAAAAGGATGTGAATGATTAAGCATGCATCCAACTCTTATTAAATGAACCGTGGTTTTTTAAGAATGTTTCTTAAAATTTCGTCACAGAGAGGATTTTATTTTGAATTAATGGGCTTGTTTGGCCAACATGTTTTTAGCAGCGAAGAACGCGATTTCGCTCTATTTATTGTAGTCGCTTTATTATTGACTTATGGTAAATTTATTTTTACATTGTACCTATCATTAGCCATCTTTTGTAATGAACTAAATTAATATATATTTCTGCAATAATACTGCAATTTTTTTGGGACATTCAAGCCCGCGCAACAGATAAATAATTTTTTCTTAGATTGCACTTAAACCACATTTGTCGCATGAGATGCAATAAATGAAGTTGGAGGAGATATTTCTTCAACACATATATTATTCACTTTATTTTGTACAAAGATATTTTACATTTTTACTGAAGAAGCTTGAGAGAGAAAACATATTATTTTAGCCAAATTCTGATACTGCATTCATTTCTATCGGTGCTGCTACATTGTGTAATATTACCGCATGTTATGTTAGATGTCATGTCGCAGATTTAATTGCCATCATGTACTACTATTGAACTAAAATATATCCGAATGCGGCAGTAAGTCTTTTTCCTCTATCGGTGCCGCTACATTGTGCAATATTACCGCATGTTATATTAGACGTGATGTAACAAGCTTTGTAATATATACCAAATCCAATACATGAATCAGCCTGTGAGCAACTGTCTTGATTATTCGTGTAATATCCAATACGTACACTATGTTTATTATACGCAATGCTGAAGCCTTCTTGGTTGCATTTTCGTTGTAAAGATGAGCCTGCGATCAGAGATTTCCACGTGGCCCGTCCAGCGCTTGTGTTTCGATACTGCCCGTCTGCGATCAAACTGTACAGCGAACTGGCTTCATAATTCAACATCATCCATCTTTCATCGCCATTAACGGTCATACCAAGACATAGTTTCTTAAAAGGAGTGTTCCAATAAGAGGCCAGTTTACTTTCTTTCTCTGTTAGTCCTTCAAGTCCATCTTTAACTGCATAACTTTCCTTGTTCGTCCAGTAAGGCGAAGCATATGTAAATGTGCTCTGTTTTTAAACGATAACAAAAATAGGAAGTATGTTGGAAAAACAATCAACCATTCTATTTCAAAAGATTTTCAGTTGAAGGCAAGTTCACCGCTCGGCCAGCGTTTAGTGATATCTCCTGTTTGCCACAAATAATCTCGACGATCACAAAATATTTTAAACTAGGAAGTATGTTAGTTGGAGGAACCATGCAGCAATGTCAATGAACTACCATGCACAAAAGCAGTTAGAATTGTTTACGTATATTCCTCTATTGCATGCCACCGTCTCATCTTTCAGCGACATTCATTGTCCGAAATAATAACGGCGATACTGTTGTCGTAAATTAATGAAACCTGGAACTGGCGTCGTGCTGTGTTTCTGTTGGGGAATAACGAACCTCTAGAAGGAATTTAAGTATAGAATTGACTAGTCTTACCAATTTGCCATCTATTTTCATCGCTAATGTCCAACCGCCCGAACCACAAATAGAGTCATTCATGAGACAGTAAACTGGATAGGTTTCCTCGGAAGAACTGGACTGCAGTTGGTAAATCCCGTTTTGTAGACTCCTGTAAGAGGTTTTGTTTGTTAGAGAACGATCAGGAATATAGAAGCATTCGCAGGACATGCAGACTGATGCAAGCTCCAAAATCGTTTAAAACCCATCGTGTTTTATTTCCGTCATGACTTCCGTTTGATGTGGCTGAATGCTGAGATTATACTGAAATGATTATGCAGACAATTTATCCTCATCAAACAAGAAATTATTCACTAAATGAATTATAAATGGTCCAATTTTACTTTGTCTGTTGGTTCAATTAATTCGAAAGCGTTGAGAAAGAAAGTTAATGTTATCTAAATATGCCTCGCCAATCATTTCCTTCTCTATTTCGATGCCAATGTTTCAAATCATAATACTAAGATCAAATTTTACCCATCTTCATCCAGCAGTTCTTTGCAGCTTGGTTTGCTGGCTTGCTGTTTTGAATGAGTGACAATCTCTGGTATGTCTTGACGCTAAATGTAACACGGTATTAATTGCATAACAAATTTGAAAATATGGGGCGATTGTCGACGACTCCGGCACGCTGCCGGCAAAAACGAGCATAAAGCCAGTTTTTACTTGTCGTTTTAAAGACAACACTACTCAGTTCTACTCGCTTGACACATTTACTCGAAAGACTATGATATACTATGCTATGTGCTATACTACGATAAGGTATTAAATAGGGAAGAGTAAGGTTTCGAGATACGTATGACTAACACAGGCTGCGCGGGTGCGAGGTTTAAAGTTATACTTAAACGACTTCGTTGCGCGAATTTCAATCTTAAAACACTAATTTTAAAAAACGTTTTGTGTACAAACATCATTGCCAACTATGGATACAGGAAAATTACAAAGTGTACCTGAAGTAAACATTTTAGTTTTTAATTCAACTTATAACACATTGAGAATGACGGAGCTAGTATGTTTGAAAACTCTAACCGCGATCCAACAACCGCGTATACATACCAAAAAGACAATAGAAAGATACACGAATTCTTCATTGTCAACTGCAGTTTCTTCTGTAATCGTGCTGTTGTTGAGCTCGCACAGACCTTCATCCTGTCCGCTTGCTTTGTAATTTACCGAAACACATCCCTCGATCTCTGTGCAGTATATTGAACACTCCATACTACTCCCAGCATATCTCGATGTGATCACACTATCTGGCAAATACTTGCCCGTTTTCCTGTGAAAGAGAGTTTGTTTCCCACAGATTCCACTTCGGAAGAAGTGCAATCCTAGTAAACACTGCAGATACAAGACCACAGAAACTCCGAGAGATTTCATCTTGTATAGCTACCTTTATTGACTAATATATTTTCCTCGTCAGAAGTTAGATGACCTTCCTTCAATCAATATGATTAAGCACCTTTTGTACTAAATTTTAATAATAGAACCACTTTATGAAGTGATAGATCGTCTATTATCTGTCGAATAAGATCATTCGTGCACGCACGCTATATATTATTTTTAAAATTATCTTTAAAATCACTTGCGTGTATTATCGTTTTTGCATGGCATATGAACTTTCAACATTCCCAAAGTTATAAATGACTGAAATTTTCATCAACAAAACCGCGTACTTCGAGAAATTAATGAAAAAAGTACCGCATTTTCATTTAATGGATTTTTGATGATAGCTAACTCAACGAAGCATACTGTTTGATATATGCAACAAATGTTTTTTCACCTGCCATGTTGATATTTACATCGTTAAATTTGACTCGAATGAAAGCAGTATTGTAGTTCAGTACTTTCAGTATTATGTGATTTAAGACGATATTTTCATGTCGTATTGACAAGTCATCCAGGTATCCACGGTGGAATTAGAACATAGCAAATAGATGGAAACTTGCTTCCGAAGTAGAGTTTTAAGTCTCCCACAGAATACAAGTACATAATACCTTAATAAAAAGAAGGGCTGATATTCACATATGATAAAATTTAACGGCATTAGTAGTGAAAGAGCCGACAATGTTATTTTGTTTTTTTGTATTTGGCGACACAGACCAGACGCGATGCAGCAACGCGACGTGAATTTTCATTTTATAGAAGCATGTAAATTAAATTGTGGAAGCAAATTTTGAAATATATGGACGCCAGAGCAGTCAAAATGCATGTGTTGTCGTTAGGTAATCTATACGAGAATATTATGATAATTAGAATTTATTTGCTTTTGGAAAATAAAAAAATTCGCGTCGCTTTGCCAAACCGTGTCCGGTCTCTATGCATGGGCTTTGTAATGATAACGTTGTAAAATTGCATGAGATCGATGATAGCGAAACAATGATTATTGACAGAATATGTATTCATTGTCTCTGATCGGTTGCCTGTGCCAATCTCTGAGGCTTAAAAAGCAATATAGCGTCGATTTACCTATATATGAGGTTTATGCGTCGAATGCAATTCAAACAATATAGATAATAGATGACAAAACGCATTTGGCTCATTTTCATCTCATCAATTGTTTGAATTGCATTCAACACGACTAAAATACAACGCATAAGCTAGAGTTATATATCATTAAGATACATTGGCACTTTACTCGATGTAGATAATTTCTTAGGGTTATATTGAGTCTTAACTTTAAATGAAAATCATATGCACATGCATATGAACAGTCGAAATACTACGGCTGTTAAGGGGTTAAGCCAACTGAAATATTTCCCATACACACTCTGTGTTGTTAGTAGTGCACTAGCTGTAGCGCATTTTAATTACTTTTTCCTTTTTCCAACGTTACATTATATCCATTTTACATATATGGAGACGATTGGATTTTGCTGTTGAACTGCAAACTTAATATATTGTTACACTATTTAACATTTACTTAAAGGAGTAAGTAAATGTTATATATAGCTTAAGCTTCACCTTTCACCTCAAACGGCTAAGAGGCAATAATAAAAACTTGATTTTTTTATTAAAACTCCAGGTACCATCGATGTATTCACATAAGGAGGAAAATATGACACGAAAATGTAACAAAAATGAATTCTGTGAACAAGTTCGAACCTGCCATTTGCAGGTTTCCCAGAAATTGCAAAGCTTATATAATCAAACATTCAAACTCCCTATTATAACTTAATTCTTACTGCATTCATACAGGCTAGCTTTCATGTTTCTTTGCAGTTGACAGTTTCGTCGAGTCTGGTATATTTCATTTGCATCATGGACTATTGAACTAAAATATATCCGAATGCGGCGGTAAGTCTCTTTCCCCTATCGGTGCCACTACATTGTGCAATATTACCGCATGTTATGTTAGACGTCATGCCACAGGAGTTATAGGAGATGCCAAATCCAATGCATGAATCAGGCGTTCCGCAATCATTTTGATTATTTGCGTAAAGTCCAATACGTACATAAAGCTTATTGTATGTTTTTGTAATGCTAAAACCGTCTTGGTTGCAGAATGGTTGTAAAGATGAGTCTGCAATCAGAGATTTCCACGTGGCCCGTCCAGCGCTTGTATTTCGATACTGCCCGTCTGCGATCAAACTGTACAGCGAACTGGCTTCATAATTCAACACTATCCATCTTCTGTCACCATTAACGGTCATACCAAGACATATTTTCTTAAAAGGAGTGTTCCAATAAGAGGCCAGTTTACTTTCTTTCTCTGTTAGTCCTTCAAGTCCATCTTCAACTGCATAACTTTTATTGTTCGTCCAGTAAGGCGAAGCATATGTGAATGTGCTCTGTTTTAAATGATATAAAAAAATAAGAGGCAAGTGGAATGAATAATTCAGTTAAAATCGTGGTTATCTATAGTCGTTCTTTGAAGAGATGGTTTCCTAGACTTACCAATTTTCCATCTGTTTTCATAACCAATGTCCAGCCTCCCGAACCGCAATCAAAGTTGTGATCCATGAGACAGTAAACTGGATATTTTTCCCCAGAAAAATTGGATTGCAGATGATAAATTCCGCTTTGTAGATTCCTGCATGTAAGAGGTTTTGTTTGTTAGTGCATGGGAGATCCCTAATTTACAAGCATTCATTAAATCCTAAACTGTGAAAATGCTTTCAAACCCATCATGTTGAATGGTCGGCAAGCGGTTGAGATTATACACCGAAATATTCCTGCGGTTGAGCATCTTCTATTGCTAAAGAAGGAATTTCGACTTAAAGTTCATCTCAGAACAACAACGACTTACCCAACCAATTTTTTTCCGTATAGAACAATGAATCATGAACTCTCGCTTTACTCCAGGGGCCGGTTGTATAAAACTCTTTGACTACATTTTGCATAGTTAAATCCTAGTTGCCTCAGAAAGATACGACTCTGCATGGTTGGCCAATTCTGTCCTTAACTACAGTTCAAAGTTAACTAGTCTTTTATACAACTGGCCCCAGGTTTGCACGCTTCATTTTATTAAAATAACGTCATTCGCGCAACAACTTTAAGCGAAGTTTTATATCACAGCAATGATCACATGCAAATATATATTGTTCATTACAACATAACATGCATATTTACTTACACATCTTCCTCCAATAGTTCTTTGCAGCTTGGTTTGTTGATTTGATTCCGTAAATCATTACCTATTTCTGGTAATATGGCGTCATTATTTTGACTCTAAACAGGATATACGATGGGCTATGAACTGTAAGCCTTGCACGTGTAACGACACTCACACTATAGTCTTTTAAGTGACTAAGGTTAATAAGCTAAAAGCTTCGTGTGAGCTAGAGGCTTCTATACAGGCAGAATTAACCTTTTATACAGATTGCCTCGACCACGATGCGTGCCTAACTAAGTAAATTTGTATAGTTTGTGCCGTGAACAGGTTGTAGTATATATGTTTTAAGTTTATCATACTGAAGATGATAGAGGATATTTTCAGCATATTTACATAATGATATATTCAGTACAACAGTATTCTCTAAAAAAAGTCTATACCAGCGTACGTACCCAAATGGCAATAGAAAGATAGACGAATTCATCATTGTCAACGGTTGTCTTTTCTGTGATTGTGTTGTTGTTGAGCTCGCACAGACCTTCATCCTGTCCGCTTGCTTTGTAATTCACCGAAACACATCCCTCGGTTCTTGTGCAATATATTGAACACTCCATACTACTCCCAGCATATCTTGATGTGATCACACTATCTGGCAAATACTTGCCCGTTTTCCTGTGAAAGAAAGTCTGTTTCTCACAGATTCCACTTCGGAGAAAGTGGAATCCTAGTAGATACAAGACCACAGAAACTCCGAGAGATTTCATCTTGTATATATTTGGACTAATACATTTTCATCATTAGAAGTTCTAAACTGAGCCGGCAAAGATTTCACAGTTGGATAAAGACCTACTATACGCTGTTAGAATGCCCGCCGCATATTCAATATATGATTGTTTACTTTTTGTAATAAAACTTTAATAATAGAACTACCGCTCTATTGAGTGACAAGCGTCTAAAATGACATTCAGTACACGCTAAATTATTTTTATCTTAAAATCTAATATATTTGCAGTTTGTCCAACCACATAACGTAATCACCTGTGTTTTATAGACTTATCAGCTGGAAAAATCAAATGACGTAAACCCCTGTCAACAGACTGCTTACTTCAGGGTTGATAAGAATGAAAAGTTATATTGATATATTGTTCTTAGCTAGGATCGTGTACTCAACGCCGCATGTTGTTTGACATTTATATTAAAACAATTTTTCACCTGCCAGGTTGATATTTACATGGTTAAATTTCACTTTGATTTAATGAAAGCAGCTTAAATCGGTAGCTTAATTTAGTCATGAGTGTTTTATATTGGAAGATATTTTAATATCGAATTGACAGGTCCTACAGTCATCCATGGTAAAATTAGAAGAACGTAAGTCAAGTGGATTGTAGGCCAACCTTATTTCTTTGTCATATCCTGATTCGTCCCCCGATATCGAATATAGGAAAAATATAAGCTAATATTCATAAATGATAAAGTTTGGCGGCATTTTGTATAATGGGAAAGGTGAGCCTGCAGAGGCCTAACTAGAATGATAATTTAAGGAGGGGGGTGTGTTTCAGTTCGAAGGATTTATTTTGTGATTGATTGCTTACATTGAAAATCCGTCTTGGAGAATTTGATAAATGAACACCCCCCCCCCCTCCCTCCAATTGTCGTTCTAGATTCACGCCACTTGGTGAGCCAACAATATTTGCTTCTGAATGCATGTGTATAACTTTGAAGAATTGCATCAAGATGATAGCGAAACAATGATTGTTTCTACGTGGAATGAATCTCACATTTACACTGACTGCCACGGCTTGCGAGTAGAATCGGTGTGTAAAGATCCGGCCGACACATTTTTCTCAACGTTCCCTGGCTTGAATTTAATATGTGTATGTTTTCCACTCGAGATTAAGATAAAACTTTTTCAAATTAACTATACATTATTATGTTCCAGTCCTAACAGTTTCCAGAGCTAATTAGTTTTCACTGATTGGATTACGTTGGTTTATTCAAAGTGACGCATCAATTGAGACCAGTTAAGGTGTACATAAGTCAACCCAATATCAGATATTCCATGTTGTTTATTGTGCGTCCACATGCAGTGACATTGTGTAGTGTGTAAGCTTTGAAGTATAAAGGTGGAAGTAAGAATCATTAAGAACTACGAATATATTGAAGAAAAATTTTTTCATCTTTCACATATAATATATTATAATATATACTTTCTGCTCGAGGTTAAAGTACTAAATGCTGCGTTCTATATTTCCACCTCTGTCACCATGCATTATTAACTAATTTTGTTTGTCAAATCAAGTGAAATAAATTAACTGGGGAGAAACGTTTGGCCTTGAACTGTCGATTCACTTCACCAGAATATAGCCAAATGCACCAATCTCCGTATATGCGTTGGCTGGGCACATATAGGCATTACCACAGGTTACCGTAGATGTTCTTCCACATTTTTGCGTCGACCACAAACCGAATCCTATCCAAGAATCGCAAGAGTTACAGTTTGCTTCATTGTTACCAATGGTACCAATCCGAGCTTTAAAATTATTGCATTTGATGTTGAATCCGCTCTTTCTGCACGTTGACTGTAATTTCGCTCCGCTAAGCAATGATAACCATTTGTTTTTACTAACTTGACTGGTGCGAGTTTTGTCATCTGCGATCACATCGTACAGCGAACTTCCTTTGTAGGTACTTTTTATCCATCTTAATTTACCATCATGCTCCATACCGAAGCAAATTTTCGTAAACGCTGAATTCCAATACGAAGCCAGCAATGTTTCATCCTGTGTCAGTCCTTTAACTCCGTTAGAAAGCTTGTAAACCGTTTTTTTCTTCCAATAACTGGACTCGTATTTGAATGTTTGCTAAAAACAAAAAGAGAAGAATTGAGACATGAAGATTTGGATGCGTCATCTAATTCCTATATTATATGCAATATACGTACAATAGTCTGTATCGTTACTGGCGTCTGCATGGCATATACTTGCCTTTTTATGATCCATCTTCAAGACTAAAGTCCAACCTCCTCCTTCGCATTGACCTAGTTGGGTCATGTGGCAGTATACAGTAAATCGAACGCCATTTGCTTCCAAGTCATATGCTCCATTAGGTAACGAACTTTGAAAACAAAATATTACATTTGTTTAGCAATCTAAAAACAACTAAGTTTGTACAGATGTTGATTGGAATTGAATTTTCTGAAGAAAGAAATTGGAATTTTCCTTGAAAAAAAACCCCAACTGAGAGCAATGTTAGAACTGTAACCATCTAATTGTGACTCTACAGTTAAATTGTGGATATAAGTTGTATAAGCTATTAAGTATTGGGTTCTCTAGCTATATAATATATTCTGAAAACCATACCCGTATTTTGCAAGTAATTCTTTACATGACGATGCTTTTAGGGGTTCTGTAAAAATCGGAAACAAATATGGGGGGAAAAAAATTTCCCGCATGATTGCGGATATATGGGGTTTGTTTCTGGTCAGATACGATTTATGTTCAGGTCTGTACATGTGCATACTTATATAGGCCTTTCATGAGGTTTCCCTCCTCTTTCGGAGTGTTTGCACATACTGCGGCGACTTAAGGAGGCTTAAAATTATAATGGAAGGTATATTGTATTCCAGAATATCAGGTATCTTATTTAGGAATTTCTTGCAGTTTCTGCATAATATATTCTTTAAAAACTGATTCTCGTAATAACTTTCTTGTACACTACAATCTCTCAACATATTTTGGCTAGCTTTTTTATCTCGACATCATTATGCAATTATATTCCTTATCGCATAACTTAACGACGTGGTGCAGTTGGTTAATGAGATCGCAGCAAACGCCACATTTGTATCAGGCTTGTTCTCTTTTGCCCATGCAGTGTCTTGCATGGAGGCCTTGCTATACTTACCGCTAATTTGAGGTCCAATGGCCTCAATTACTATTTCTGTCTTTTTATTTTCTGTATTTAAAATTATAGTAAATTAAACTTTACAAAAAATAAAACCTACTTGGCAGGTGGGTGGCTGTTTTTGTATATGAGATATAGTATATTACATGTATATATCAATTATAGAGCTACTCTTGTATTCATTCTATCATTCTCGCTTTTATACACGGAGACGACCATTGGTTTATTATACCTTACATATTTTGTTGGATTAAACGGACCCCTGCTATATATAGCTAAACTTACTTGTAGGTCGTGTTGTCGAATCTATAACTTTTCGTGTTGTCGCTTTTTCTGTATTTCAAATTTGGTAAATAATCACTTCTTTAGTTTTCAGAATTTAAAACGACAATTGGTTTATACGTTAAATATTTCGTTAGTTTAAGTGGACTCCTGCTATAAATACTTACTTGTAGGTCGTGTTGTCGAATCTATAACTTTTCTTGTTGTCGCTTTTTCTGTATTTAAAAGTTGTTAAATAATTACTTTTTTAGAACGACCATATGCATTGGTCTTAAATAATTTGTTGGTTTAAACGGACTCCTGCTATAAATATACTTACTTGTAGGTCGTGTTGTCGAATCTATAACTTTTCTTGTCGTTTTCTCTGTATTTAAAAGTTGTAAATAATTAGCTACTTTTTTAGAACGACCATATGCATTGGTTTATATATTAAATATTTCGCAAGTTTAAGCGGACTCCTGCTATAAATACTTACTTGTAGGTCGTGTTGTCGAATTTATAACTTTTCTTGTTGTCGCTTTTTCTGTATTTAAAAGTTGTTAAATAATTACTTTTTTAGTTTTCAGAATTTAAAACAACAATTGGTTTATACGTTAAATATTTCGTTAGTTTAAGCGGACTCCTGCTATAAACACTTACTTGTAGGTCGTGTTGTCGAATCTATAACTTTTCTTGTTGTCGCTTTCTCTGCATTTAAAAGTTGTTAAATAATTACTTTTTTAGTTTTCAGAATTTAAAACAACAATTGGTTTATACGTTAAATATTTCGTTAGTTTAAGCGGACTCCTGCTATAAACACTTACTTGTAGGTCGTGTTGTCGAATCTATAACTTTTCTTGTTGTCGCTTTCTCTGCATTTAAAAGTTGTTAAATAATTACTTTTTTAGTTTTCAGAATTCAAAATGACAATTGCATGGTTTATACGTTAAATGTTTCGTTAGTTGAAGCGGACTACTGCTATAAACACTTACTGGTAAGTCGTGTTGTCAAATCTATAACCTTTCTTGTTGTCGTTTTTTTGTATTTAAAAGTTTTAAATAATTACTTTTTTAGAACGACCATATGCATTGGTTTATACCTTAAATATTTCGTGAGTTCTGCTATAAACACTTACTTGTAGGTCGTGTTGTCGAATCTATAACTTTTCTTGTTGTCGCTTTCTCTGCATTTAAAAGTTGTTAAAGAATTACTTTTTTAGTTTTCAGAATTCAAAACGACAATTGGTTTATACGTTAAATGTTTCGTTAGTTGAAGCGGACTCCTGCTATAAATACTTACTTGTAGGTCGTGTTGTCGAATCTATAACTTTTCTTGTTGTCGTTTTCTCTGTATTTAAAAGTTGTAAATACACTGTTATTTTCAGGGTGTTATTTTAACACCAAAAACAGGGGTTACGAGATTTAATCGAAAATAATCCTTTTTTTGGGGTTACAAATAACACCGTTTCTGGAGTTAAATTTTAATCCCCATTTTGGGGTTACATTTAACTCCCATTTTGGGGTTAAAATAACCCCGTTTTCAGGATCCCGCTATAATACCCGGAAAGAAATAAAGAATCATACAAAAATTTGAGCAAAATTTTATTACTTTATATCCAATCTACAATATTTACAACATAAATACAACTTCATATTAAAGTTTCCTGATAAATCATCAGAAATCTAAACTTTTTTCTTTTAAAGAACAAACAAATGCATTGTAAAAACTTTACAAATTATATCCTAAGGTAGGCAACTTCAATCACAATATCGAGATGTACACATGAAAACAATCCGAAAATACGTCAATTAATACCTAAAACTAATCTAAAATAACAAGTGAAATGAAATCTACAATATTTTTACTTTATACTTCCTATGTTTTAACTTTGAAAACAAGTTATAGAAGCGAGAAAAATGCCGAAAAGTTTTTGATATTTTACTTATTTTTGGAATAGGCCGATGCTGGACCCGCGCTGTAGACTTTTAAGAACGTTTGAAAATGACGAATTCGTAACCTCATTGGCTGTTTTTTATTCTTGCTGTTGTGACAGCCAATGAGATTACGAATTCGTCATTTTCAAACGTCAACATGCAGCGCGGGTCCAGCAACGGCCCATTTAAAAAATGAGTAAAATATCAAAAACTTCGCATTTTCCTCGCTTCTATAACTTGTTTTCAAAGTTAAAACGTAGGCAGTATATAGTAAAAATATTGTAGATTTCATTTCAACTGTTATTTTAGATTAGTTTTAGGTATTAATTGACGTATTTTCGGATTGTTTTCATGTGTACATCTCGATATTGTGATTGAAGTTGCCTACGTTAGGATATATTATACTATATATAGGATATATTATACTATATATAATACCTTTTCATCCTATTATTAAATATATTTAATTCATATATAAGTCCTTATTTTCCTTTAGACTATGAGAATATGAAAAATGTTTTTCATGTCTACTGTTCCATATCAAGATATTTTTAGCGACCTACATTAATAGTTTTGTATTGAATTATTTTGTCGACACTTGCTGAAGGTTTTCTGTTGAAATATTGAAAATATATTACACACCAGCGCAATTGTGTTTGTATCCTGGATGGCTGAGCAACTGTACACTTTCTTCCAACAGAGAATTACAGACAATTTAGCTCACGAACTGCAGTTTAATTTATATCCACAATCGGCAGGTAAACAGTCGCACTCCGAGAGGCATGAAAATGATATTCAAGTACGTACATTGCCGTTTTTAACTGCATACAGCAAATCCGCCAACCTTTCTTTCACTTTTCCTCGTTCAATTCGGTTTTAGTCGTAATTTATCTTTAAAAATACAGGCAATTCTCCCGTGGAACCAGTAGTGCTTGCGAAGGTTTTGAAAAATAGCTCGTTTTGCATGATTGCATCAGCTTGATCACGTGGTATAATGTACTTATTTTAACCCCCAAAATGGTGTTACATTGCGCGTAACCCCCTTACGTGGTGTTATTTTAAGTCCAACTATGGAGTTATTAAGCTGGAATTTTGTAACTCCCCTATTACACCCCTAGAATCCCTTAAAAGTGGTGTTAAAATAACACCCTGAAAATAACAGTGTATTACTTTTTTAGAACGACAATATGCATTGGTTTATATATTAAATATTTCGTTGGTTTAAACGGACTCCTGCTATAAATATACTTACTTGTAGGTCGTGTTGTCGAATCTATAACTTTTCTTGTTGTCGTTTTCTCTGTATTTAAAAGTTGTAAATATTACTTTTTTAGAACGACAATATGCATTGGTTTATATATTAAATATTTCGTTGGTTTAAACGGACTCCTGCTATAAATATACTTACTTGTAGGTCGTGTTGTCGAATCTATAACTTTTCTTGTTGTCGTTTTCTCTGTATTTAAAAGTTGTTAAATAATTACTTTTTAAGAACGACCATGCATATGCATTGGTTTATACCTTAAATATTTCGTTGGTTTAAACGGACACCTGCTTTGAATACTTACTTGTAGGTCGTGTTGTCGAATCTATAACTTTTCTTGTTGTCGCTTTCTCTGTATTTAAAGTTGTTAAATAATTACTTTTTTAGTTTTCAGAAGTTAAAACGACCATTGGTTTATACCTTAAATATTTCGCTCGCTTTTTCTCGCTAAAACTCGGGCCCGTCTTGGGAAATATTTTATGGTGGTCGACATGTAAAATATGATGTTTCCCTCGGGATCGGTCAATAACTCTTAAGTACATTCTGCGTGTTCTATTGAATTGTGAATTGAATTCTGAATTGAATTCTGTCAGCCTCAGAGAGTATACATTTCATTACTTATATGCCCCCGAGTACGAGGTATACATGCCAAGAAAGTTCCATATTCATGCTGTGCGATATAATTAACTTTTTTTAAACTTGCTTATAAATGGAGAGTATAGGTATATACTTTACTTCAAAACTTACTAAACGATAACGTTTTCGTCTCTGGAGATGTTGATGGAGCTTGTGGTGATATCACTTGGGGTTTCTAAGAAATCAGAATACTTATGGTTGAGTATATTTCCTCTTAAGGCACTTAATTTAGCCATGAGTTCCGCCGAAATTAATAGAAAAATGCGAAGAATTGTTTATTTTAAAAACTTCGGCTTGAAAACCTCATTCCAAATTTTTTTTTTAATATTTAAAAGAATTAACATTGAAACGTTATTTCCTCGTATTCCTGTTCTCTTTAATGTCTTTTATGTCTTTGCCATTAGTGTGACGTCATAACGTGGGAAGCAGATATTTATGTAACACATGTTCTGACGTAATAGCGTGCAACAATCTTACCCCACGTTATGACGTCACTCGTTGACGTTATGAGGATGGCTGTTAGCCAATCAGAGAATGTGAATTACTTTAAATAAATAATAACAATATTAAGTTCAGCCCATAAGAAGCCCCAGCGTCTAAACCGTGTGGTAGAAATATAGATAAGTTTTCATTGATTCAGTTATTGTATATTTATTCCCTGCAGTATAATTAACATTCATCCATGGGAAGGCTGACTGAACCGAAAGATTCAATGATTCACGCCTATAACCTTTAAGCGAGGAGAAATAAATAAAAAAGCTAGCAAATTTTTTTTACGCCTATGTATAGAAATATGAAACATTGATCTGACGCGGTTGCATATCCGACTCATCGTCGAATAATTACCTGAAATTTTAGTTTCTCAAAATAAATGAAATCAGAGTTTTGAATTCTATCCAATGGAAAATCCCTTAATATTTTCGAGTTCATTTCACAGAGACCTTTGCCATCTCCCGTTGCTTTATAATTGACTGACGCGCAAAATTTTTCTTCTAAGCAGAAACAACAGCACTCCGTCTCACTGCCTACGACAACACTTTTTAACACGAAATTCGGAAAGTAAACGCTCTTTTGCTTGCGAAACAGAGCACTTTCAAAACCGTGCGAAAATCCTGTTGAAAATATGTAAATAGGAAAACAAAGCCATATATATAAGGATGTGATTTTCCTCATGAACATGTTTGTCGTTTTCTGGATGGAACTGCGATGAGAGATGTTTGTCCAATCCTAATTCCGATCTTCTTGTAGAGTACTTGGTGTTGAACTGAAGATTTTGTTCTACGTTATAAGAAAACACTTCTCAAAACGTTGCACACTGAAATGACAAATGTCGTTGATAAAGCGAAACACCGTCCATCCCGTCCAGTTAGGTGCATGTGTTGTTAAATGTTATATAACTTTGTCTATAGAACCCTTAATATATATCGCTGCATTTCTTAATTAAATCACTCGTGCATGTATACAATTAATCATTTTATGTACAGAGAAATAAAGGAAGAAAATTATGCACACAATACAATTCATTATGCCTATTATTATTTCAGCAGGTGCAATTTATTTGAAACAAATCTAGGCCTGTGTCAAGTTTCTCTGCGCGACATTTCTCGGTTTTTGTATTAAAATTATCGTCATTCTCAAACTTTCAAAGCAGATAATTTACTAAGTGTGTGAAAATAATAATCCTTAGTGTAATCAGCTTTTTAAATGTTTAATCAGTATTTTAATTAATAATTATGCATTGTTCTATGATCAAAATAAAAATATTCTTTCAGTAGCCCGAATATTAGTTGCTGATTCTAGCATACGACTCCAGTAGCAGGGTAGGGCGTTAAGATCATATGATCTATATGCATGATGATTCCTAGGGACATGCAAGATCTCCGGCAAACCAAAGAGCGTTTACACTCGCGATTTTTGCTGCGATTTTTGTGCGAGAATGATTATTTCAGGCGATATGGCATTAAGCGGCGGTCTTTAATGAAGTCTATACAACGTGATAATTTGATTATGTCAGGGTGAGAGATAAATTTGATGCTTTAGCCATGGAAGAAGTATATTCAATTATTAATGATATGACCAACAAGGAGGAAGTTCTTTTAAAACTATTCGTCAAATTTGTTTTTGGTTTTCAGGATAAGCCAATCAGAATGCCAGAATTTTTTCATGTAAGATAGTAAATAATGTAACTTATTACTAAAAAGAGTTATATCGATGTATATTTAGTCTGATTGGGTTATTAAAAATGTAAACAATTTTTGCTGCTTGGTCTAAAACAATATTCCTCCTTGTTGATATGATCTCAAGCGGTAAAAATACTCAATGAAATAAAATATTCTCCTTTCAGAGGAAACAATTTCTAATACATAATTATATACTCACTCTTTTTGGTTTAACTAATGAAATGTAATCAAAGTGTCCATCTTCCTGTAATAATCCTGGATTTTCAAAGTCAACGTCTTTGAGTAATTCACAGTTAGCAGTATCGTTAGTGATTAAAGTCTTTCTGTAGTTAACAGATCTGCATCGTTTTTCTTGCACGATGCACTGTAAAATGCAATCTTCTCCAGATGTAGCCTGGACAATTTTTATCACATCACTTCTATAAAAATGTCCTTATTGAAAGAATGGAAAGGTTTCAATTTTATCTTTCCGTGGTAATCTGTATTCCTCCCTGGCCATTTATTAACATAATATGTTGGGTATATGTTAGTAAAGGCGAGTCTTAATAAGGAAATTATCGTATCATTTAATAATTACAAAATAATCTTGTGCCTTTATCAATTTATATAACATTTTGTATCACTTGACGTTATATATGTATATATGCTCATACTAACTTGTTTTTTTTGAGGCCCTGGGTACGAGATTGACCCCCTGGGTACGAGATTGACCCCATACAATATAATGCATATAATCGTGGTATATTATTTATAAGCTTTATATAAAAATACATCTAAAACCTTGTCGAAATCAGAACGTGTTTGTTTCGTTTTATATTTAAGAAAACTTCATATAGCATCATCAGACGTTTGTACCAACCTTGTTTCGACGTATTAAAGCAAAACTCTATCTTCTGTCCAAAGCCTTGCAAATTATATATAATTAAAATCAAAATCCAAGCATAGCGGTGTTTCAAGAAGGCAAAATTTAAGGTCGGAAGACAAACGATGTTTCTCAAATGTATTTGCAGCATTGACATATTAAGTTTCCAACGTACGTTATATATATGCCGCAAAATTTGCTAATACTTTGGTAGGTAACGATATGATTGTAGCCTGTTTCGCTAAAAGACAAGGTATTGAAAATTAAGAATTGCATCCCTATAATGGAGAGCTGTCATATGTCGTTTTGTCATTTAATATACATCCCTGAAACTAATATCTTTAACAAGTGAGAATGACATATTTTTAATTTCACAGTGCAATTTAGAGTCCCTTTAATCATTCTTTCCTTCTAAATTATGTTGCGCTACACGTGCTGCACAAAATAAGAACAAAATAAGAGTAATAAATGTATAGATTGTTTCATTGTACTTTTCATTTCTTGCGATGAGATATAAATTACATTTTAATGCTATAGCAACTGTTAACATTCTCACGATAATTTTGAGTTATATATTAATATATACGCCTCTTAATTTTGTTGCATGAATGTTTAATTACAATATTCTAAATATAATTTCAAACATCGCACTTGTCAAAACAAAACCTCGAATTTCATCAAAGTAATCCTTGATTTAATTTCATGCCTTTTTCTTCCGTGCTTAGTTCACTCGGCAGTAATACATTTGGTATTAATAAATATACAAATATATAAACACGAATTGCTTCAGTTCTTTTATTCCGAAGTTTGATCTCCGGGAGATAGTGGATCGTCGAAAACCACCGTTTTAAAAAAACTCTGAAAAGCAATAAAACTACAGATTTGGAGCTAACAATTAATATTAGATTTTAGAGCGATTGTAAAAAACCACAATCCGCCATTCTTTATCAGTCATCCTGACACCCACAGTCTTCATAGGTGATTCGCTTGACCAGAATTTTCCTTATTTACACTTCTACTAATTATTACTATAATCAAACTTTTGATTTTTCCCCCATCCATGCAGAATAACTTTTAGGTATAACCAAAGAATATTTAAGCACTGTATGTAATTGTGAAGATGTACTATTGAACTAAAATATATCCGAATGCTGGAGTTAATTTATTGCCATTATCGTTTCCACTACATTGCGCGATATTACCGCATGTTATATGAGACCTTATGTTGCAGGCCTTGTAACGAATACCAAATCCAACACATGAGTCGGGCGTTCCGCAATTGTTTTGATTATTTGCGTAATACCCAATACGCACATTGAAATCTTTGCTCGCATGGCTGAAGCCTTCTTCGTTGCAGAATGGTTGTAAAGATGAGTCTGCGATCAGAGATTTCCACGTGGCCCGTCCAGCGCTTGTGTTTCGATACTGCCCGTCTGCAATCAAACTGTACAGCGAACTGGCTTCATAATCAAACATCATCCATCTTCTGTCGCCATTAACGGTCATACCAAGACATATTTTCTTAAAAGGAGTGTTCCAATAAGAGGCCAGTTTACTTTCTTTCTCTGTTAGTCCTTCAACTCCATCTTCAACTGCATAGCTTTCCTTGTTCGTCCAGTAAGGCGAAGCGTATGTGAATGTTTGCTAATAAAAAGTAAGATTAACGGAAACTTCAATGCTTTGATGTGTTAATGGTAAGAGTGCTTCTTAGGATGGACATAGCTATAATATTTTGAGATTTTCGTCATGCACATACCTTATTCCCGTCTGTTTTCAAAGCTAGTGTCCAGCCTCCTGTTCCACATCCGTCTAACGCGCTCATTTGACAGTAAACTCGGTATTTTTGGGCAAAGAGGTTAGCTTGGAGATAATAGACACCGCTTGGACGGTTGCTGAAAGCATATTTGTACTTAAATAATTTATCCGGCAATAATTGAATCCAATGAAATTAAAATTATGAAATATACTTACGGATCTTCAGCAAATAGCTCTTTGCAGCTTCTGCGAATAATACCAGGCTTAAATGATAGAAAATTACAATAACTGAAGATGCCATTTTGTTGAACTCACTTCATATATATTTTTACTTACCCTTTTTGGTTGAATTAATACAAGGTAATCAAAGTTCACATCTTCGTGTAAAAGCTCTGGAAATTCCGAATCAATAAATGCGAGTAATTCGCAATTTTGAGTGTCATTGTAATTATCTTGAAGTTTCCAAAAGTTGACTGATCGACATGTTTCATCTTCCAGCAAACATTTCAAGACACAATCTGGCCCAGATTCAGCATGAAAAATTTTGGTTACTTTAATTGCAAAGTAATGACCTGTATACAAATATAACTCTAAGGTAAAAAGATGGGCAAATTTACTCTATATTTACTCATAATAATAATGTATGTGCATGCGCTTTGAAAGCTTCAGCGCCAATTTAAAAGTGGGAAAAGATGACGTATTGTAGTGCTTGCATGCAGTGTGTACTTTGTTTCCTTTTTAGGGAATTATTGCAAATAGATTCATTGTATGTAAATAAAATTTTTTAAATTAAAATCTATATTTCGATTGAAATTTGAATCATCTTCAGGAGATAAGATTTTACAAGATATATCTTATCTAACCTTTATTTTATACTTGCTGAAAACATCAGCTGGAAACGGTTTTTAAAAACATTTTGTGTGATAAGCACTTTCTTTTATAAGCACTATTTTCGGTAAATGAAAATGACCTATCAGTACAGTAAATTACATTGACCAGGCTATGGTTTTGTTTGAATTCGAGAAAAATCGAAAAATTGTTTCAAATATCTGTTCTGAATTATAGTTTACCTTCTTTAGAGCCATCAAAGCAAAAATCGATGCCGTGTCCAAGGGTTTGCAAATTAAGAAATAAAAATAACCAAAAACGAATATGTTTTAAGGTGAAAAATATCGATGACTTAGCGAACGATATGTTTTTCTTGAAGTAAACTTTTAATTCTGGCATTCTCAGGCAACAGCCAATTCCTCGTTTTATATCGCCGAATAGTTGCGGTCTTTTCTGACTCTTGAAAACACTATATTTAATCACTAAAAGCGCATTTTATGTCTTGTTGTCCAGTTATATTGCGTTTGTAAATTTATGAAATTTTTATCAAGACTTCATTTAAATATCCTTTATCAATATTCTCGGTGATTTTAACCAAAATTAGAAAGATTTTAATCATCATAAAGCAGCCTATATTTTTTACAAACTCATTGATTTGAAGCGGGCGAAATAGGATATAAATTAATTGAGTTGACATTTAATAATATATGACTGCATGCATGTCGGTACGTATGAACATTTTATTAAAAGTATAACTTTTTTAAATTTTTTAAAATTACATACCGACGCTTAATTTTAGGAAAATTTAAAATATTAAAACTTTCAATTTTGCAAAACTGCTTGCTTCGTTCTTTATATAATATTACAGAATTGTTTTAGTAAGGACATAGTTACATGCATAAATGATTCAAGATTGTACATGGAAAAGTATGATTTACCGACATTTTCATATAGGTATTCATGCATGATGACCCCCTTATAGTGTTAATAAATATCGCGGCTTAAGGGGTTTTATAGTTTGTTTACTTGCAATTTTGGGCAGAAAATCGATTCAGCAAATCAATACAGACTATATACATTCTGCACTTTTGAAGTGAATTGGCTCCGAGTCTCCGACAAATTTAGATCTTGCGAATAGATCTTTAAATTGAAACTATTTAATCGTTCACGTTGGTCATGCATGTGTATATAACTGTGATGTAGATAAGAACTAAACTTACTTCTTGCACTTGATAAACGAGTCGTGCGCCATCAAATCTGACTCAGCAACTGCCCAATTAAACCATGCAAAAAATTAATGCTATTCAAGAAGCGCGTTCGTTAAGAAAGTTAATCTTTAATAATCTTTATGTAATCTTTAATCTCAACCAAGCCGTTTTAAGCTTCGGTAATCGGGTCACTTTGTTTGCGATTGAATGCTATAGCTGAACCACCAAAGGAATCAAGACGGCTTTACATGCAGAGAATACTTTGTAACAAATATTATAGGAGATCTTGAACACACACGTACATGCAAATATCAACATATTGGACTCATATAGGTATCAGAGGCCTCGTAACCAGAAAAAGTCTACCAGAAATATATTTGTTTGCAAAGTGTATAATATATATAGCCCATGCACCTCTATCCAGTCTTCCGATAAAACATTACATTGTAGTTTAAGGTTCAATAGATCACTGCATTGCTGCATTACAAAGACAATATAGGAGTGCAATTTTAGTAAAAGAGTACCTAATTTTGTAGTATAATATAAGTCAAACTCATTATATGTTTTCTGGGGTAAACAGTGCAACGTCTAAGGATTTAATGCACTCCTATCTACAAATTAACACAGGCTACACAGCTAATTGTAAATATATACCATCAGGATTGAAATAGTTCTGCAAATGCTATTGTACAAATATGTATCCGAATGCCGCAGTGTGTACGTTACGTTTATAATTAACATTGCCGCAAGATATTTGAAACTCTGCGTGCTTATCTCTAAACTGCGACAAACCAAAGCCGATGTATGCGTCACAGGTATCGCAGTGGGCCTCGTCATTCGTGACTAATCCAATCCTCAAATGAAGTTTTAAAGTTTGCCGAGTATTTGCTTGAACATTGAACCCTTCTTTGTTGCAATTTTTTTGCAATGACGAGTCTGAAATAAGGGATTTCCACGCGCTGCTTGTGACACGCGTTGCTTTGTAACCTGAGTTAGCAATCACGTCGAAAAGAGAACTGGCTTGGTAGTCAATTGAAATCCAATTTGTGTCACCCGTTGTTTTCATTCCGAGGCAAATCTTGCGGAACGGTGTGTTCCAATATGAAGCAAGTTTTGTTTGTTTTTCTACCAGACCTTCCAGACCATCTTCCACTGCGTAGGTTTTCTTGTTGGTCCAGTAGGAAGAACTATAGTTGAAATCGTTCTAAAAATAAAGTAGTTATTTTTCTATGGTAATAAGATTGTTTATTATTTTCCGCGGGTTGGAACCTTATTGCCGTCAACTTTCATCACTAGTCATTCACAATCGGCAAAATCATTCTAAAGTTCAGGAGATAAAAGTCCTTTTTATGTGCCGGCTTCAATTTTATGGTCATATAAATTTATACATCCATCCATTTCTTTCGACCACATGGTGAAAATACATACATAGCTCAGGGACTATAATTATAGTCAATCAGAAACAGCATTAGTACAAAGAAAACGGTGAAATTGCAATCCACGCTTATCCACGTTTGTTGCTGTGGATGGGTATAGCGGCTACAATAGTTGCATGGTGGAGATGCGATTTAGATATATTAGTTGGGGATAAGGATACCACACATACGAAACAACACAGTCATCCTCTCTCATAAGTTTCAAGTGGCAATGCAAAGGACATTTAAATTTACAATTGTTACCCTTCTGCGTGTCTAGATTTTCAGTACGTTGAACAACATGCATGCAAATGCTTCGTCCGCCGCGGCATGATGGGTTTCAAGATAGCTAAAAACTTTCTCTTTCTAAACATTACGTCCTTGACACAGTTCGTACTTTGGAAAGAATAAATTTTATGTCCCATTAATCATATCTATTGGCGTGAAATTAGAGACATTGAGACTTTTTTGTAGACCATTTTTGTAGATGTATTTATTACCTTTCTCCCGTCGATTTTCATTACTAGTGTCCAGCCTCCTGCTCCACATTCAGCGATTTCTCTCATTTCGCAATAAACAGGATATTTTTGTGCGGATGCGTTGGGCTGCAGATAATAGATCCCGCTTTCATAATTCCTGAAAGAGTTCATGACATTTGTAGCTAGCACAAGTAATTGATATTTAACCCATCTGGGGCGGGTTGTATGAAATTATTTAACTATACACGATGCATAGTTAACTCAGAAATACACAACTCTGATTGGCCAATTCTGCCTTTAACCACAGTTAAAAGTTAACTAATCTTTTATTGCCCGCAGCAATCATACAGATACAATAAGTAATCTTTAGTATTCTTACGGATCTTCTTTTAAAACTTCCTTGCAAGAACTCTTGCTCATGATTCCATTCTAAAGTGTTGTATATAAGAAGTAATAAATACAGTGGTAAAGTAATAAATACTACACAACGAACGCCGCTTTTTGTAAGAAATAAATACGTTATTTACCGTTTTGCTTGGCCCGGATAGGAGAATAATCCCCTCGGTCTCAAAAACGTCGATATACCTCGGGAAAATATTTTTCTATTCGGACCTTGCAGCCGGTAAATAACATATATAACTATAGAATATTCGTAGACTATGTGGCTTACTCTGTTTGGTTGAAGTAATAGAAAATAGTCGAAGTTTTCATCTTTGTCTAAGAATTCTGGAAACTCAGCTTCAGTGTCTCCGAGTAGCTCGCAATTTTCAGTGATATTGAATTCGCATGAGTTTTTCATAAAGTTAACCGATCGACATGATTTATCCTGAAGCAAACATTGTAAAACACAATCCATCCCAGATTGGGCATAGACATATTTGATTACGTCCCTCATCAAGTAATGACCTATATATATTTGAGAAAGAACAAAAATTACTGCATTGCCGCAATCTACATGCATGCAAGAGAGATGTAGGAAAACTATAAATATTTTAGTCTGTATATACTTTGGTGTTTCGAATCAACTATGTATGCACTATAGCCTACGGAAAGTAGGATTATGCATGTCTATATAATTTATCCATGCAAAAATTAATCTGAAAAATGTAGTTAAATTGAAGCGTACCTTCCTTGGAG